GTGTACTTTGTCAGTCGGCCTGTTCTGCTCCCCACTCTGTCTCTGGTGAATCCTCTCACCATACCTGCGCCTCTGGCCTGTACCCCAGCTCTGTATGCATAAATAAATAAATAAATCTTTTTTTTAAAAATGGCGTTACTGATACTTACCTTGTAAGATAATTTTGAGGATTAAAATAATGACTCCAGTGCCTAACCCAGTGTGGGGCATGCAGCAGATGGTAAAATATGGCAACTACTACTAGACTCTTCAGAAATTCATGTTAAAAGTTTTAAAAAGATTATATTGTTGCTCTATGTGTCATACCTTTTTGTGTTTGTTTTGTTTTTAATTTTCACCCCTTTCTATAGTGGTGACTTTCTGTTCAGGAAAATGTAACAACAGGCCTTTTCTCAAGTTTGGTGGAGTAGGAGATAAATAACCCCTCCCCACTTCTGCTCCATCACCAAACAGTAGAAATAAACCCTCTACTGGTGTTTTGTTATGATCCTTTTAAAATCAGAAATTGCTCCTTGTATAATATAGCATATTTCAATACTTTTTCTACCAAACAATTATTTTTCACTGTCCCCAACAACCATCATCTCATAAACATACCAATGTTTTCTAAACCACCAGAAATTTTAAAAAACTACACCATCTGTGCAAGCAATAGCCTCTATTCTACATATAAAACTATAAACAAGTCATCCTGTTTCATTCTCCTTCTTTAAAAATTCTAAGGCCATGAATTGCTTGTATTAACTTAAACTTCCCTTTGGTTTGTTGCTTGAAATACTTTAAACTGTTCATGGACTGATGCCCTTTCATGAAAAAAGAGAAAAATATGGGTTGAAAAAAGACTAATATGTTTGTAAAAACTAAATGCTTATTCCAGGTACTCTTTGCCAACAAGGACAGGCTTTCGCTGAAGGAACTTGTCAAAATCATTTTTTCCAAGACCCTTTGCACATTCTCCCCATGACTATGGAAAGTTGAGCCCCAGCCCGGAACCCACACGAAGAGGCACTGTTCGCTCCAGCGTCTCAGGCAGTGCTGCCACTTCCCAAATGCATGTGTTATATTCCAATTTAAATATATAATACATGTATATGTGTGTGTGTGTGTGTATAGGTGCAGTATTATCGGGGTTTGTTCAAACATCAAAAGTGATATTAAATGCTATTACCTGAAAGGGAGAGATGTTTTTACACTTCTTTCATTAAGCTACTAAGCTAAAATAGAGCTTTACTTGGAGAAGAAAATGGCTCCCTATTGCTCATGAAGTATTTCCACAAGGAATTTATCCCTCTTTGTCCCCCATCTTCTTCCTTTTTTAGCTTCAGTCCAAAGAAATCAGAACTGCTGTAGTCTCCTCCTGAAGAGAAAGGTAGCGGTGAGACCTTACCTGTGACAGAGCAGAGAAGAGGAGAGCTCCAAGGAGAAGCCCCTGCATGTTCCCGGCACCGGCGCAGCAACCCGAGAGATAGGAGGCCAGTGCTGGGGCCAGGCCACACAAAGCTCTCCTCTGTCTCCTCAGCAGAAGAACACACACGCGCACACACACACCCCTCTACCTCCCAAGCCCCCGACTTTGTACGCATACATTCAGACTCTGCTTTCGCTTTCACAGATCCGTTTTAATACCCTGTTTGCCTGTTTGCTTTCATGCAACTCTCCTCTTATTTACCTTCCCGTGGTGTGGTGTGTCATGAGGATGTGAGTGCTTTCTTCCAGGACCACGAAGGGCAGACTAATTGGAGACTTTCTGGGAGTAACTGCTCTGCCTGTGCCTGGGCACAGTGAAGTTAGATGAGTTTCTCTTCCTTTGCCCTGCTTTGCCCTGGGCCTCTAGCTCTGTGTCTGTCCTGCTCCAGGCCCTCTCTGAACTATTATTTTTCCTCAGTCTTCAAGCACAGAAGACTGGCCTGGTCTCTCCCCACAGCACCCTAATGCCATCTGCTGTGGGTCCTGCCATCACATTGTTAACATGCTTCCAGAGGCCTCCCCTCTCTCCTCCAGCTTCTGCTTTTCTCTCTTGAATGTCCCCACAGTGCCCTGTACTTGCCTATACTACATTTCTCACCACCGGTCAATTATAGTTAAAAATAAATGTAGGTAGTACCCAGGCTGAGAGAAACCCCTTTCTGTGGTCACAATTCCAAAACAGATGAAAGTGAACCCCAATCTTTTTGCTCTGCCAATTATCTTTTTAACAAATTAAGATTTTTTTAAAAATCTGCTATAGACTTGTATGAATCACTTCTCGTAACTCTTACATCCCTGCTATGTGCTCTGTCCAGTCACAGGCGAGCATTGCTTATCCCACTTCCCTACCCTTGTGGTTCATGCATGTTGGCTCACATCTGTGATGGGGCTTTGTCTTTTTGTGGGTCAGGGTCTGGCCCACCTTTTTGCCCCATCTCTGCATCGGCATCCTCTGTTCCCTTTGGCTAGTTACCTGTCTTACCTCTTCTGCTATCTTATCTTTCCCCTCACTGCTTTGTTTCAGTCACCACTGTACAAAAACACAGTTAAAGAGTTAAGGGAAAACTGGGCTCTCCACCAACAAGAGAGCATCTGGGATCCTGGGAGATCCAGGGATTCCATAAAACATGGAAGAGAGACCCCACAGTTACCAAGCAGTCGCTTAAACCATAATTGTATTCACAACAAACAACAAGGAATACCCAGTGTGGTTATGGTGTCAACTCCTTCCCTCGGAAAAAGGACAAAAGCTACCAAAAGCTCAGAGAAGTAAAATGTGATTTAATCGAATCTAATTTCTTGATCTTGCTGTTTTGCAACATTGGACCTTTGGGTCCTAATCTCAGAAATCCATGCCCCAGAGCAGTCATCAGAAATGGTCATTTCTCCTTGTCATTGGCCTGTCAATAGCAGACAGGTCTCAGCCCATGTCTTCCTGCTCCAATGCTCCCTTTTTTACATGATGCTGCAGGCATCATCCTGTGTTTTAACTTGAGACTTATGCTCCTCCCATTTGCGCTCTGAAATGCTGGCAACAGCAGCCGTGTTTCTGGAAATGTCTTCCTTCCCTCTAATCTCTGGGCCAGAGGGGTGGGGAATGTGTCATTTTCACCAGTCGTTGCCTCATGTTAAGAAAGGAAGGTAGTGGCTGAGCAGCACCTTATAAACCTCCTCCAGTGGGCAGAATGACCTGCTCTCCTTCGCAGTGTCCAGCCTGCTGGGGGGTGGACCGAGTGTGCTGTCTTTAAAACTTGGGGCCACCCTCCTTAACATGACACAATGGCAGTGCTGGCGGTATGCATCCAGTTCTCAGCACTTTTCTTCTATTAGCTCATTTAACAAAATGCTAATCTCCCCAAAGCTCATGCAAACAAGACAGCCTCTGACCATAACCAATATTAGCATCATGTTTGATGATATACAAGCAAGTTCCACATGTATTATCTTTTTTTAATTTCACAGCTCAGTGAGGTAGGCAAAAGCAGTATTACCATTCTCATTTCACAGATTAAAAAGTTGAAGTTAAGTGATTGCACTTAGTCAATAAAACACACTTAATCCCTGGCCTCTAGAGCGACATAGTCTACTGGGAGAGAAGCCAAATAAACACACAAGGCACCTGTAATTAAAAATTAAATGAAGGCTAATAATAAAGAACGAGAAATGATAAAAGAGAGGATGACAGATAGGAGCTAATCTAGAATTCAGGCAGAGAAGACTCACTGAGGAAGTTGAAAAGTGACCCCTGAAGAGTTGAAAAGTGAAGCCGTTGAAGTGTCAGGTGGACTCCTGGTACAGTGCTCTGTCCCCTGACAGGCGGCACACCTCTAATGCTGACAAACTCCGTCTGCAAAGAGCACAATCACTGCCCTTCCTCTAAGATTCCTGAAGCCAATCTGGCAGGGACATGATCACAGCTAGATGCCAGTATTAGTTCCCTCTCGGGAGGTCCAGCCAGCTGGCTAGGCCTAGGTCAGACCCCTACCTTCTGTCAGCTAGCTGAGCACAGGCTGACTTTTCCTCCCCTCATGCCCTCTCGCTGCTTTTCTTCTCTTGCTGGTTGTAGAAAGTTTAGAATAAATTTCTGTCCAGATGGGAATGTGAAACGAGGGTTCAGAATCAGGTTTAATTTTAATTAAATTCACTTAATTTGAAGAAATGGGTGTCTCCTAATTTCCTGAATTTGTGGAGTCATCTGCATACTTGCTACAAATACTTCAAGTCCCACAAAATCACCATTCTACATGAGTGTGTCTTCACCCCTGAAAATTCACCAGTGTCAGAACCAAAACCGGTCTCTGCACCGTCTCATCTGACTGTCACCCGGCAGGGCCTGCATCAGATGTCTGCTAATTCAGCAGTTCTTCAGCCTGCAGGGCTGAAGTGCCCAGCTAACAGCACGGAGGACATTCACATGGCGACTGCTCAGTGAAAACTCCTTGACTATTCAAAAGGACGCCTTAGAAAATTACCTTTTAACTACTGAAACCACGCATGATTTGGCTTCGCATGTTGCATGTGGATTGGTTATGGTTTTGCATGTTGCACGTTTATCCACTATATCCTTTTACGCCTGTTGTCTCTGACTATTTATTGCACTTCTGACCTTTTCCCAGCATCATGTCTTTCTATTAAATGCATGCTACTATTTCAGGTTTTGGGTTTTTTGTTTTTGTTTTTGTTTTGTTTTTTGTTTTACAAAGCTCTAACCTCCAGCTCCTAATGGAGTTCATGACAATTGAGTGAAAAGACATATATTGTTTTCCTCATTAACCTACACAAAGCCTACTTAACCCACACCTGTGCATTCTGGAAGGGGTTGCCCTGTAGGTGCTGAGCCCCTAACAATGTCCCACCTGGGAGGCAATGTCAGGTCAGGAGAATTACCTGGGTCTGCTTGACCACCCTCCAGCTTCAAGAACAAGCAGCCCCCATCAACGACAATATGCCTGTCTGCCAGCTGTGTGGGCCTCACAGCAGAGTCCTTGAAAAGCAGGTGCCCTCATTCCCAGGGCTTCAGGAAGTCAGGCTGCAGCCCAGGAATAAAGACCAAATACCTCAAAAGCATGTAATTCACTTTGTTACTTGGCCCCGTTCACCTAGTTTGCAGGGTGAGCCCTGGTTGAGTTAACTGAATGCAGGCAGAGAGGCCACGTGAGAAACAGGGAGAGAAAGGAGGACAAGATATCTCCCCTATTTCCAAATGTAGGTGGAGTTAACCATTCAGGGAAGGAAAAGCTAGCTTAACATGTTGTGCATTCCTGAGCTTTAAAATGCTTACACGTGTGAGTTATAGTCTAATTAGCCAGGCAGGCCCCCAGGCAGAGGGCCAGGCATGCTAAACTTGAGCCAGGAAACCCCTGTTCACATCCAAACTCTGCTACTTTGGAACTCACTAACCTCAGACAAGTTCTTTAAGGTCTCCCCAGCTCTGGCTTTGCAATGCTCCGGTCCGTCCTCACCACTGCTGACTGATGCACAGTTACATGTGTCTTAATGATGGAAACATGTTTTGAGAAACACGTTGCTGGCGATCTTGTTACGGTATGTCATAGAGTGTAAATACATCAACCCAAACACTACAACCTACTGCACACAGGCCATTGGGACCGCAGCCATAGACTGAACCGCTGTTAAGTTGATGCATGACTGCAATTTTCAAATAGATTTGAACTCGTCACTCTGCCACTTTTACTCCCTGTGCATACGGAATGAAAGCAGCTCCAGGGTAGCACCCTAAAAAACCTCTGTGTGCAGTAACACCCCTCCGTGCCTTCAGCTGCTGTGAGGAGAGCCCCAGCCTTCTGCCTTTGCTTAATTTGTCCTCCCAGGAGAAGCTGCCCACCATGTACTGGTCTGGAGAGCCATTTGCAGGAGAGACTTTCCCTTGAGACGTCTTCCTAACCATCATGCAGAGCAATTTTATCAATCCCTTTGTGCACCCCACCAGGTCTGGTAAACCCTATTTCCATGAAAGGTGCCCAGACCCCACTAGTAAAAAAATAGAGTAAAGATGCTAAGATAGCCAATTAAATTTTTAGCACAGGTGGGGCATATTTAGACTAAGAACTCACTCGTGGTTGATCTGACACTGCAATTTAACCGGGCTTGCGTTTATGTGGGTTTTCCTTACCAGACTGCGTTATGTGCACGTGGAGGCAGATGAGACATGCACAGATGTCTCACAAATTGATGACTTTTATTTACTTACCATGATAATACAAATTGGAATTTCTAACCTTGACGTTAATTATCTTACAGGCAAGTGAATTAGCGCTACTCATTTTATGTTTGCCTTGGAACGTTGGATCTGCTTTTGATGACTAATGCACAGTCTAGGAGGCCGCTCCAGCCTTTCCAGTTTCATCCTGCAAGGGACACAGATGGCCTCTAGGTGGCGCGATGGACTAACCTACCAACCCTGCGCCCCGCTGCGCGCCCTGAAGAAAGGCGAGCTCTGCCGCAGCG